AACAGTCTTGGCTACTAGTAATTTCGGTTTTGGTCAAGTCATCAGAAATTTTTGTGATGCTAGAGTTAAAATTTGCAGAAATCAGGCGCAGCTTGAGAATGGTAGACATATCTAATTTTGAATACACGAACAACATCGGAAGCTTGTAAAAAATTACGATCTCAGCAAACAGCATGTGAATACTAGATAACTCAAATTCGTCGGGGTTAATCTCGAGCGAATCAGCATGGTCTTTGACAGTAGCCAAGTCAATGCGGCGGCATGCACTGAAGGCGAAACCTTCAGTCGCGGCGCGCTCCGCATTGGCATCCGGAACTTCAAGACCCAAGCTACGAACAGTTTCAATGAAATAGGTTTCATCATACAAAGAGCGGTCTTTATCTTCTAACTCTAGTCAAGATTTGGGAATTTTACAAATAAGAATGCTGCTTTTGAAGTGAAGATCGAAACTCTGAGAGCCAAGAAGAAGCTTGGGACTTTTACCAAACTCCAACCGGGCCCCTTTCTCGATCAGTTTTCCAAGCGATAGAATGTCTTTGCGTAAAGTTGGAATATAATGAACATCCCGCAGAACTAGTCCGCGCAACTTCACAGAACCGACAGCAGTGGCGTGGGCCTCGCTGCCTGCGGTTTTGAAGGAAGTCAGGGAAGATTTTTGATCATGCAGAATATCGCGCGAGCCTGTTAAATGTTTAGAACTGCCACTATCGATCAAAAATTCTACATGAGAAGAACTAGTACAAGTGCTAGGCGTAGTAGAGTAGGTCTCCTCATCTTGCAAAAAATCCTCCAAGTAAAAACTTTCTTCCTGTTCCCCGCCAGAGCTCTCCCACTCGTCACCGGCATGGGAGTAGTAAGAGTCGCCATATTCATCGAAGCAGCGAAAATCGGTGGCGTTGTAGTCCCAAACGCTGTAAGCCTGCCGCGGTTGGTAGGGCGCGAACTTAGGCGGCGGCGGTTTTCCGCCCTTCTGGTCCTTTCCGCCCTTCGCTTTTCCTTTTCCCTTCTTCCCGTCGTAGGGAAACGGACGCGGCTGGTGCTGGTGTTGTTGCTGCTGCTGCTGGTATCCCGAGTTGTATCCATTGTCTTGGTGGTAGCCGTTGGCATAGTAGGACTCGCGGCGAGACAAAGTTAAACCGCGACGACCCACTTCAGCCCAAAAGGTATCATCGTCAAACTTCTTCGACTGCTGATTTGCGGCGGGCGCAGCCGTTTGCGCGTTGCTGACTGCGTTGACTTCTTCCCCGGATTCTTCAGAAGTAGATAGCTCCGCGCTGGATTCGTCGACCTGTTTCTTGGTTGCTGCTTTCTTCTTCTTGTTGTTCTTGCGCTTCCGCTTCTTCTTCTTCCCACCGTTGGCCTGGTTGTTCTGGCGGCGAGAAGCATGCGCAGCTTGTTCAATCCCAAAAACTGTATCGCAAACGCTAGACATTTCGCGCCAAGTCTTGGGCTTGGCGCGGGCTATTTCCGCGCGTAAAGTTACCCCGGCGTTATTCTTGAACAAGCTCAGGCAGTACTTCGAGTTGACGTCGTTTTTGCTATCCCGGGCGAGGCGCCCGAACTTCTGATAGTAACGCAGCGACGACCAAGAATTTTGCTTGCAGCTCTCCAGCTTCAACTCGTCTACTCCCGGATTCTCCACTTCCTGGCAGTATTCTTCCAGCAGTTTCCGCATCCACATCGAATCGCTAAGCCCTGGATGCTCCTTGTCAATGTCGTCCATCACCGCTTGCACGTTCGAAGCTGCAGTAGAGTCGGTAATGTGCCCGACCAGCTTCGTCCGCATGAACGCAAGCGAGTGGCCGCATCGTTTGGCGCGAAGAACAAAATCGGAAAAATGTCCTTCACCGTCCCACGGCTTGATCTCCCATTTTTCCTCGGCTCCGTCGACCAGTTTTGCCCCGCATTCTTGCTCCCATTCTTTGACCTCCTCCGGAGACCAAGTCTGGACGCCTTCTTTGGTGTTGAAGACTAGTTTCTTCTTCGCGATCGGGGTTG